GGTGTATATCAGTATGTAGTGTCTCTACTTTAAAGAGTCCTCTCCTGCTGATGTTCAGGTGTATATCAGTATTTAGTGTCTCTACTTTAAAGAGTCCTCTCCTGCTGATGTTCAGGTGTATATCAGTATTTAGTGTCTCTACTTTAAAGAGTCCTCTCCTGCTGATGTTCAGGTGTATATCAGTATTTAGTGTCTCTACTTTAAAGAGTCCTCTCCTGCTGATGTTCAGGTGTATATCAGTATGTAGTGTCTCTACTTTAAAGAGTCCTCTCCTGCTGATGTTCAGGTGTATATCAGTATTTAGTGTCTCTACTTTAAAGAGTCCTCTCCTGCTGATGTTCAGGTGTATATCAGTATTTAGTGTCTCTACTTTAAAGAGTCCTCTCCTGCTGATGCTCAGGTGTATATCATGTAGTGTCTCTATATAACACACTACAGGAAAGGAAAAACCCATAAAATAGGACCTCTCTAATATAAAAGTAATAATAAAAGTAATAATACTTAAAGTGAGTGAGCTGACCTTTGAACTCGTTGATCATGAGCTCAGTGAGGAGATCCAGGCTGACGTTCCCTCCCGATGTTCCCTGAAGATTCAGAACTCGGTTCCACTTCATGTCCTGTCTGACGCGCTCCGGGTAGAACCCCTCGATCCCTGAACAGAACACGGTAACCATGACAACAACCCCGACAACAACCTTTAGTCACACCGAGAACAGAGAAGCTACAAGAGTAGTGCCGTTCACCACCCAAAAACTTAGAAAATTAAATAATAATAAAGTACATTGTTGGTCTTAATTGTTTTAATTAATAATAAATTAAAATGTTGGTTGAATAAAATGTGTTTAAATAAATAAATAACATTAATAGCGAATATTAATTACAACAATGATCATAAATTACGTTTTTGGTCGGATAAAAATGGTTTTAATAAAAGAATAAACATCACCTCGACAGACCGAAACTAATACTCTTTCCACAGCAAAACAAATATACTCTAATTTATCTCAGATTCTCAGTAAATCTAATCAGAAAAACCGCAGGCCGCAATAGTGTCTCAGTGGGCGGGACTTGTTGTCACTGACCAATCAGATGCCTCGTACCTGTGATCAGCTGGTGGCTGCTGTTGAAGAGCTGCAGGTGTTCTCGGCTCCACAGCAAAACCATGTCCGTCCTCCAGAAGTCCGTCATGGCGTCTCCGTCCCCCTCCTGGATGGCGTCCCGTCGGGCCAGGTGGTTAAGCCCCTCCCACAACACCGTCTTAGTGTAGTTCAACAGGAAGTCCTCCTCCCCGCCCCCCCCCATGGAGCAGGACGAGGAGCAGAACCACGTAGCTGCAACAACAAACATGTCAGAAAGATCTGGTTTCTCAGAGGTTTCATTCTATTAGTCAAGAAAACTCTCCTGGTGAATGTTTTCCTCAATCTGACTACATGTACCCCCCCCTCATCGACTTGGACGTTTAGCCTCAGTTGCAGCACCGTGGCTGCTGGTGTGGCAGCCCAGGTCGATGAGGGGGGGGGTACATGTTGTAAGATTGAGGAAAACATTCACCAGGAGAGTTTTCTTGACTATCATAACAAATTCCGTTGGTTGGAGCTTAAAATAAATGAATTAGAAAATGTACATGGCACTAAGGACCACCCTAATACAGGCGTCATGCTCTCCAGATAATTGATATTTCTTATATATAAGATCAGTGTCATAGTACTCATACTATATCTTTCTAGAAAAAACTCTGGTAAGTAATATCATACCGTACAAACAAATCTCTTTAAATACATGCGCAGACAGAATATGATATATATGATAACAGTAATAACGTAAAATAGCATTAAACAAATTCAAATTAAATAATCAAATAAAACAAGAAAATTGAAAAAATCCATAGCACGTGTATATATATTTATATGACAAAACTAATGACGACATTATTACATTTAGGAAAGGCTTGAATATAAGTCTCACTGTGCTGGTTGTTGCTCTGCTGGGCGTCTGTCAAACAGGCTCGGTGGTACCACTCGTGCTTCCTGCAGCGCTCCATCAGGCCACACTGGACCATCTGCCCCCCCCTCCGCTCCTTACACTGACAGTAAGCGTACGTCCCGTCTGAGCCGCAGTCCGGACCACAGAACCGATCCTGATCCTGATCCTGATCTGAGAGGGTCCGAGTCTGAACACAGCTTTCGTGAAACCAGATCCTCGGACACAAGTTACTGCAGCAGCGAACCAGACGCTCCCCTGGTTTCTCTAAAACAACAAGAACAACACATCTAGGGTTAAACCTTCATAGGGCACTATTAGGTTAACCCTAACCCATTTCAGGCCTCTGCTGATTCGTCAAATTCCCCAATGGCGCGCTCTGTGGCGTAGAGTGATCTTCGCTGATTGGCTGGGAGAAAACCACATGCTTCTCGACCTCACTGAGTCGCGGGGAGGACGCCATGTTTGGGTAACCCTACCCCAAATATGGTTCCTCGCCCGATAAAGAAGTTAAAGGCAGAACTTTTTGAAGACTTATATTTTGAAGAAGCTGGGGACTTTTATTTTGAAGAAGCTGAGGACTTTTATTTTGAAGGAAGCTGAGGACTTTTATTTTGAAGAAGCTGAGGACTTTTATTTTGAAGAAGCTGAGGACTTTTATTTTGAAGAAGCTGAGGACTTTTATTTTGAAAAGCAGGAGGACTTTTGATTTGAAGTAGCTGAATTTTCCTGTTGGGTCAAATATTTGTATTTAAAGCTCAATCGTCTTTCAAATAAGGAAAAGGAGAACATAAGAAGGAAAAAGGTTAAAAGTCAGAGCGCTGGACATCAGAGAAATCCACAGAAGAAGACAAACAGGAAGTAAACACCAAAGGGAACAGCAGGAGAAGACAGGAAGTCTGTTTGACTCTTACCTCCTCCTGCTGAGCTCTCACCTTCTCTGCAGTAACAGAAGGGGAAGATGTTCCTCTTCTCTCCGTCACTCTGCTCAGCAGCAGCAGCAGCAGCAGCCATGTTGATGTCCTCCTGAGACGGAGGCATCCACACCAGATCCACCAGTCTGTGAGCGAGGTCTCTCAGCCAGTCCATCTGAGCAGAGGCCTGGTGGGGGAAGTCTGAGGGTCTCTGGTCCACAGAGTCCAGACCGCAGGCCGTCACAGCAAACAGAGTCACGTAGGCCGACGTCACAAACTGAAAGAAATGTTCAGCAGAGGGGGGAGAAGTACTCAGATCCTGTACTTGAGTCAAAGTAGAAGTACTCAGATCCTGTACTTGAGTAAAAGTAGAAGTACTCAGATCTTGTACTTAGTAAAAGTAGAAGTACTCAGATCTTGTACTTGAGTAAAAGTAGAAGTACTCAGATCTTGTACTGGAGTTAAAGTAGAAGTATACAGATCTTGTACTGGAGTTAAAGTAGAAGTACTCAGGTCTTGTACTGGAGTTAAAGTAGAAGTACTCAGATCTAGTAATTGAGTAAAAGTACTAGATAAACTAAAAGTACCAGAGTGTAGGAATACTCTGTTACAGTAAAAGTCCTGCATTCAAAATGTTCCTCAAGTAAAAGTAGAACAGTATAATCATCAACATCTAGTTAAAGTAGCGAGAGTAAAAGTAGTCATTGTGCAGATTGGTCCATGTCAGAATAATAGATATGATATGTTTT